GGGGGGGAAAGCCAGGGCAGACGGCTCTACCTCACCAATAGGGAGCTTCCGAGAGGACCTAGAGGCCGTGCCCAGGAGAGGACAGGCCAGCTCAGTGCCACCTGTGACCTTAAGGAAGGCAAAGAGCTAATTCTTGAGCAAAGAGGCAGCTGAGTAAGAGCCCTGGGCTTGGGCAGAGAAGGACCTGTCAGAACTACACACTCATGCTCTGGGACAGGCCAAAGGGAGCTCTGGATAAGGCTGACCATCAAAACCAGAACTAGGTTGGCATGAGACATCCCCAAGTCTGGGGTGCCATCACGGCACTTGCTTGTGCCACCTCCATCTGCTTGCACAGGACTCCCCGGGCAGCACTCAGCCGGAGGCCACCTTCTGATCACCTGGAGCCCAGTGCCATGCTCTCTCACAGTCTCAGTCAACTCAGGTCGGGCAAGCACCACTGGCCACAACGTCACTGTCCCTTCCCAGCGCACCAGCATCTGCTCTGACCTACAAGGACACCTACTGGAGGGGCACAAACACCCTCATCCTGTGAGAGCTAAACTGTCACACTCAATCATTGGAGCCTGGGCGGCAGGCGGCTGAATTTGGGGTTACTCGTGTTTTATTGAGATGCCTTCATACGATCAGGATGACCTACCCCAGCAGCTTCAATTCTACTGCCAAACACCCTGTACCTACGGCATCCTCACAGGCAGCAGGAGCCATGCTTCATACGTGTCAAAAGGAGTGATGAACTCACGATCAACAAAATGGAAAACCACGGAAGACCCTGAAAGCATGCTTAGTGCAGAAAGTCAGACACAAAGACACACGGTGTGACTCGGGTTAGGAGGCGAAAAGCCTCACCTTGCTCTAACCCATGAAGCCCACACGTGCTGAAGCAGGGCAAGATATCCAAGCCTCTTCCACACAGCCTGGCAGGTCAAACCAGGACCCACTGAGGAGGTGGCCACTACAGCCTCACGGGAAACAGGAACCCAGAAAGCTCTGGGCAGCCCCTGAAGGGCCGGAGTAAACAAAGGGCAGCAGTCTGTGAGAAAAGGCCTTCCCAGTGCCATACAGAAGACTGGAGTTATAGCCACAGGCAGCTAGGGGAGCAAGCTCTACCCTTGGTTCTCGGGCCAGCAGCAGAGACTGGAGTGAGGGGGTCAGGGGCTTTTCTCAAGACGGTTGACATTAGGGGGGTGGGGAAGGGGCAGGCCTGAGAGAAAGAGAAGGAAAGCAAAGTGAAAAGGGGGAGATGAGCCCGCTGAGCCACATGTATTCACATGAAAACAGATGAAAACAGAGCCTGCGGCCTTGGCCTTCACCCCTGGCTCTGCTCTTTCCTGAGCCCGAGGATGCCCTCAGCTAGGTCCTAGTCATATCACAGTCTTAGATGGAGACTCACGGGGTGTCTCTCAGTGATCTTGCCACAGCGCAGGGCCAGCTAATAAAGGAGAGGCCTGGGAGTGAGGAGAAGAGATTGGCCACCCCTGCAAAGGCAAGCCAATCAACCGTGGGTAGGAAAAGACTGATTCGACAGTGAGAATGACACACTCATGCTCAACGTGGACAGACCTTGAGAACATGCTCTGTGCAAGAAGCCAGACTCAAAGTCACACGGTGTGACTCAGTCACAGCTGATGTCTAGAACATGGAGATCCACAGAGACAGAAAGCAGGTAGGTGTTCCTGAGTGGGGAGAGTAGGTAGATGATGGGGTGGGGGTGGGGGCAGGTGGGGGTGAAGGCTGCTGGATAGGGGTTCTTTTTAGGTTGGTAACTGCTGCCGACGGGTGCAATGGTTGTGCGGTTCTACAAATATACCAAAACCCACTGTGTTGTGGGATTTAAGTGTGTTCCATAGTGTGTGATGTCTAAATAAGACTGTCACGGGGAAAACAAGGGGAGCCAGACCCCATCACCGGGCTGCTGAGCCAGTGCCCGGAGGTCCCTCCAGGTTGTGTACTCACACACGGAAATCCCTCCAGCGTAGCCCACACCTGCCCTGAAGAGCCCTCCCCTCCCAGGCAGCAGGCTGACGTCTGCTGGCCATCTCTTCTGAGAGGAGAACGACAGAAGGCACAGCGGTGGACCCTGTGGTGTGCATTTGTTCCTCAATCCTGCAGCTCACCTGAGAAATCTGTCCAAGAACAACTCCAGATGACTCACAGCCTCCCCTGGGTGACAACCTCAGCCTGTACATGTCCTTGGAAGCAGCCCTGGGTCACAGATGGTCATTAAAAATACTAAAGTATTTTTATAAGGCAGGCAGTGGTGGTGCACGCATTTAATCCCAGCACTCAGGAGGCAGAGACAGGCAGATTTCTGAGTTCAAGGCCAGCCTGGTCTACAAAAGAGTTCCACAACAGCCAGGGCTACACAGAGAAACCATGTCTTGAAAAACAAACAAACAAAAAATACTAAAGTAGGGTGTGAGCCATACTAGTTGTTAAAGTGTTTGCCTTGCAAGTATGAAGACCTGAGTATGGGCCCCAGAATCCACATAAAACAAAACAAAACCACACACAAATCTAGGTGTGGCGGTCTGCACTTATAATTCCAGCCCGGGGGAAGCAGAGACGGGGATCCTGGGGCTCGCCGGCCAGTCAGCCTAACCTACTCAGCAAGTTCCAAGTCAGCCAGACTCTCAGAAAGAAGGTAGAAAGAACCTAAGAAAGAATGACCTAAGTGTCCTCTGACCTCTACATACACATGCACAATATGTATGTGTCTACACACACATGCACCTTCACACACACAAACATGCATGTAGGTCATCAAAACAAAGACCCTGGACTCAGAAAAATGCACCTAAGTGGGAAGGCACGTCACTGCAAGAGCTGCACTTGGGGTAGCAGGGCAGGGTGCAGGGACCTTAAGCTTCCTGCTATTGCAACCTCTGCACACCAAGAGTGCTGTCGGGCCTGCGCTCTCGTTTGGGGCAGATGGACTCATGGCAGGATCCCCACTGGCCTGTGAAATCCCCCTGCAGGCGCATGTGCTTAGAGACAGCTCTCCTAGGCCGCCTTGGAGCTGCTGACTTGCTCTGACACCGCGATCGATGAAGGAAGAAGTACAGCTTGGCGTTCTCCCCACTCTCCTGGGCCCAGGAGGGAAGTCAGAGGCACCATGGGCACAACAGGAACATCACATGCCTCGGGTGATGGGTGCTGTCTCATGCTAAAAAGTGGGGACCCCGGCTGGGCAGTGGTGGCGCACGCCTTTAATCTCAGCACTTGGGAGGCAGAGCCAGGCAGATTTCTGTGAGTTCGAGGCCAGCCTGGTCTATAGAGCGAGATCCAGGAAAGGTGCAAAGCCACACAGAGAAACCCTGTCTTGAAAAAGAAACCAGACCCCAGGCCTTGGAGCCATGCCTTGTCCTCTCCGGCCCTGTGACCGTATTTCCCGGTGCCTCCTCTACAAACACTGGGTGTCCCGTTTACACCTTTTTATCTGTGCAACTAGGGCTGCCAGAGCAGGTGAGGGTCTCTTGACTGCTCCGTGTCAGGACACAGCCTGTGGTTCTGACGCAAGTGCTAGTCTGACCACAATATCCTAAACGTGATCAGCTCACAGCACCCGCCGTGCTGGTGGAACTGTAGGGAAAATGGCAATGAAGCCGGCCCTTGGAAGCCTCCAGGGCCATCTGCCACAGATGACCTTGACTGGTCAGCCTGGATGGGTGATCACAGATTGATTACAATAGCAGTCTGGGGTCTGGCTCCTGGGCAAGAATCCAGAGGGATAAGGGGAGGGGAGGGCTCAGCCGGAGCCTCTGTTTGGCAGCTGAGAACCTTCCTGGCATCTTGGCTAAGTTAAGCATCCCTCCAGCTCGAGGACTTGGGAAGTCACTCCAGAAACCCAGCTCTGCCCTGCCACCACTGGGGGCCTCCCCCTCCCTTGACAGACACGTAGTAAAGTCATGGGCAGATGGGGAGGCTTTTCCTTGCTAAGAAAGGGGCAGAAGTCACAACAGCTCCTGTGCATGCAGCCGTGGCCCTACCTGCAGCTCCTTGTCCGAGTACTTCTGAGGGTTCTTGCTCCCTTGGCTCTTCTTGCGTAGCTTTTTCAGTTCAGCCTGACACTTGTCCAGGGCGTCACCTTTGCTCCTCTGTTCTGTTTGGTATTTCTTCAGTGCAGCCTGGAGAGCCATGATACAACCATGGAGGCCCGTGAGCCTCACAGGCAGCTTGGTGCTCCCTAGCCACAGCAGATTGCAGCTGGCCAGAGTGAGGCAGGGGGTCACAGCTGCAGACCTCCTCCTTGTCTTCCTCTGGCAGATCCCCAGTCTCCAAGACCAAAATTAGACCTGAGAAGCAGCCTGTCCTCCTTCCCTGCTCTGATAGCAGGTGCAAAGCCATAACTCATGTGGTGAATACTACAGTAGCCTTGGCTAACAGGCAAGGACAGTGAGGCATGGACAAGGCCCTTGTGTGGGTTCTACCGTATAGCCAAGTCATCAGCTGCATGACAAGGGGCTGAGAGGCAGGGACGCTGCACATGAACACCACATGCAATAGGCTCTTCTCTAGGCCACTAGGGTGGGAGTCCAGAGGGAAAATAAACTCAGGCCCAGGGGACAGATGTGCAGGCAGAGGTAGAGCCTGGCACCGGTGGCCCAGCAGGGATGGCACAGGGTGTACTTACACTCAGATACCTGGAGTCCAGCTCGACCTTCTGTTCCAGCTGTGTGAGCAGCTCATTGTGAAAAGACTTCAGCTGGACGCAGGGAGGAAATAGACCATTAGGCAGTTGTGAGGCATGGTGCAGGAGATGGGAGCAGAGCCAGCCTGGATGAGGTACCATGGAAGGAGAACCCTCCAGGGCCATACAGGCCCCATGGAGCTAGGAGGCTCCTAAAGGTGAGGACTAGACAGAAGCTTTTCAAAGCCTTGACATCCCATTTCCACCAGCCTCCCTCTGCTGGATCATTCAAGCAAGGGTTGAAGGAACCGGACCTGAGTCTAGAGAAAAATTTGACTTTGCCACCCATCAGCAGCAAGAACTGGGACCTGGCTGGGGCTATCATCAAGGCACAGGTGACTCTTCCATGGAGCCAACTCTACTGACCCATTACAGGTCCCTGTGGCCAACTGAGCATGAGACCCTGGTTTCCTTTCTTTTCCCAGTCATCTTCCTGTAACCCGTGTGACCTGTGTCCCTGTCCTGGACTACATGGTTATGGAAGTCCCAATGGACACACGGATAAAGCACATAGCCAGTCCTCTGACACCTGATTTCCCTGCTCACACATGTATGTTCCTTGAGCCCAAGGAGGAGGTCCCAGAGGCCACACTCACCATCTCCTCCAGCTGGTTCTGGATCTGCCGGTGGACTTCAGCCATCTGGAAGAGGACATCCCCTGGAGAAAAGAAAGTGGGTTAGATATTTCCAATGACTGAGCCTACACCAGGACCAAACCCTGGACACCACAGAAGTTCTGTGACTCTAGACAGAGGAGCTTCTGGGAAACAAAGCCAGGTGGAAGGAGAAGAAACAGAAAAGTCTAAAGTGACGAGGGTTAGAATCTGATTTAGAGTGCCTGGCATCCTTGTGGGGAGCTCAAATGTCCACCCTGAAAAGCATGTCTTAGGATAGAGACATGGGACAGAAGGACCTGTGTAGACCGGCTTTTACCTGGGCACAGCACAAATAGGCACCTACACAGACCTCACACTCATTTACACACCGATCAGCCAATGATGGACTGAGCCCTACACGAGGGCAGACACACCTCCCCGTGCAAGGCACAGGAACCACCCTCTCTGACCCAAGGCCTCATTGCCAGTTCCCATGGGAAAATAAGGGAAAGGCTGAATGTCATTCTGGGCCCTGGGTCCTCATCTGGCGCTAGCCCTGGGAGGACAAAGTGGTCTCAGAACCACTTGCCCTTTGGACCAGTGCCATGCCAGTGGCTCTGGAGTCAGCAGAGCTGGTGGGCCCAGAACAGGAAGGTGGACTGCTGCTGTGGACCAGCTTAGCAGGAGGCCTAGGTCCACATGCCACAGAGCACTGGGCATAGCCATGACTCCATAAGCATTTCCTCAGGACATCAACACTCCAGGGACACTGATGTGCCTTGGCCTACTTGTGAAGGGTAGACCGAGACAACAGAGGTTGTCAGCTCAGCAGTCAACACCATCCAGGACTTTTCCAGCTTGGACGTCCTAGCTCATACCCACTTGCCTGTGGCACACATTCCAGGCTGGACTAATGTCTGGGTTTGCTCAATGTTGGGCTCAGCTGAGCCCCAACAGTCTGCAGGGTCATCACTGAGCTGCCATATACCCTCCTCCTGCTTCTGACAAGGATACAACAGAAAGGAAGTAGAAAGGAGGAGCCTTGGAGACCAAGGGCCAGGCACACTTTCTTTTAAGCCCAGCAATGATCAAGTTGGGTCCCAGCACCTATCTCCCACTCACACCTACAATGAGGGCTCCAGGCCAGGCAGGCAGCCCCAAGGATCTTGGCTAGGTGTCCTGTATGCTTGACCATCACATACAGCCTGTTGTCAACTGAGCATGAACTCCCAGCTCCTGTCCTTTTTTCAGGGGCCTGAGACCCCAGGCCATGCTCAGAGTCTCATGCTCAGTGGCCACAGGGGACATGTAATGGGGTGAGGTACACAATGCCCCTAACCAAGACCAACAAGGCTGCCTGCCCTCTCTGCCACAGGCCCACCTCACCTGTAGAGCAAACTCCCATTTCCTCACGTGTCTGGCTCCACTTGCCTGATTGACAACTATCTGCTAAGTCCTTTTGGGGGAGTCTGGGACACTGGCTAGGTACTATAGACATAAACCGAGAAGGAGAGGCTATGCCTTTGCCTGGAGGCTGGAGTATGTACTACTAAGCTGCGTCCGAGTCCTTCCAGAGGCAGGACTTTTCTCTCCAGGAGCCCCTCTTCTGGTACCCACTATCGCCAGCTGGAAACCAGAAGAAATCCTCTGACAACAGAGGCCATAGCTGGAGGGTATCTTCCTCTAGCACATCAGCTTTCCCCTGGGAGTTCATCTGGGACCCAAGGAGGTCAGATTCTTGGGAATCCTCTTAATCCCATGAGCTGTTGTTTTAATTCCAATGACCACAGGGACACTGAACACTGAGTGAAGGGCATTGGAAAGATTTCCTACACCAGTTAGCATAGTTTGCAAGGCCACACCAGCCAACTGGCCCCAGTCAGTAGAAAAGGACTCTCCAAGTCAGCAGGGTGGTCAGCAGCCAGATCCATGACTTACCACACCAGCTCCACCCTACTTGCTTACCACCTCCCTGCAGGTCATCCTTGTGATCAAAGGACAAACCCAGCCGGGCGGTGGTGGCGCACGCCTTTAATCCCAGCACTTGGGAGGCAGAGGCAGGCGGATCTCTGTGAGTTCAAGGCCAGCCTGGTCTCCAAAGCGAGTTCCAGGAAAGGCGCAAAGCTACACAGAGAAACCCTGTCTCGAAAAACCAAAAAAAAAAAAAAAAAAAAAAAAAAAAAAAAAAAAAAAAAGGACAAACCCAACAGTTGCCTGGAGCTTTGTACAAACCACCTGAGTCACCTGGTAGAAACTTCAGCACCGGCATCTGCCCACCGTCACACCCTAAGTGTCTATGACCACAGGCCTGGATGGAGCCTACATGGCAACGGTACGATGACCACCCCAGAAACTGTATCCCTAGAGATGACAGGGCTGCAATAACTGTGTATGGCCAAGAGGAAGCTGTGGTCACAAGGTCAGTGATAACCTACACACAGGGGGACCGAGCAAGCAGCCTCAGATTTTCCAGACCCCTCTAAAGAGGATGAAGTCCTACTTACTTGTAGCCCACTCTGGACCTGGACTCTGATATGCCTGAGGGGACTAGGGACCACATGGGGACAGAATTCAATGTGAAGGAGCCTGGTCCCTTATCCCTGTTTGAGGAGAAGCACTGAGATAATTGGTGAAGCCGGGGGAGAGAGAGGTGCAAGGCCACAGGCCCAGTCCCCAGGAGAAGAGGCTTTGCCACCAGCACACACGCACAGGCATGCCAACTACTCAGCGAGTCATCAGGGCAGTGTCCCACATGCTCAGAACAGGGCTCACAGGAAACCCAAAGCCACCAGTGTGCAAACAAGAAATATAAGTACACAAGTGGCAAGTCCCAGGGTCCTCTGTGCTTTTCTGCATCTGTAAGTTCCATAGGATGGAAACCCATTGGCCTTGAGACAAGGAAGCACCCAGGGAAGCACTCTGGGCTTTGCTTGATCACATTCCCATGACTCAGAGGGTCTTGGATCTATCTCCTGGCTCTCAAGGTTGCAGACACCTGGGAATGGGCTATAATTATACCCAAGTGGAAAGCAGGCGACCACAATGGGCATGGAGTCTGGCTTGGCAGGGAACCCACCGAGTCCTTGGCAGCACTGGCCCTACTCTCTCAGCTTTGGATTACACACACCCTCCCCGAGGACAATGCCTATGCGACCAACTCCTCAAGGGGCATGAGGTCTACAGAGGAGGAAGGGGGCAGTAGCAACCAAACTATGCACTTAGCCAGAAATCTCCCTTTAGGTTGCTGCTTTTTTCTCTGGCTACATACTTTAGACCCAGAATTACAAGTTAATGTCGAGACCAAACAGAAAACTTTCCCCTACCCACAAAAGCAGCACACGCCAATTCAAGAACCTTGGAAAGCAGTGTAATCAAATAGCAATCCTTAAAGGGGAACTAGTGATGCCCAAGGGTGTGTGAAGTTTCTCATAGGATTTTGTTCTGGTGATGGTGTCAGATCCAACAGGGCAGCAGTTATACTCCATCTGAGATGTGTCAACACTCAGACACAGAGCAGAGTGCCCTGTTCCGCTAGAACCCTCAGCTCAGAGCCCTAGCTGGGTATAAGCCCCACATATAATGAGTATGTATGCAGGGGCCCACCTAGGCAGAGGCACAGAAGAGGGTACACGTGTGTGTGCATGAGTGTGTGTGTTCTAGCTGCAAGCTGGTGCTGTGCAAAATCAGCCCACATGGTGAATTTTTAAACTCCATTTTACAAGCAGCTGCAGGAAGCCACGTGCAGCGGAGCTTGAGCGTGCACAGCCGCCAGCACTTAACCCCTGCAGTACCATGAGCACAGCATGAAGGAGAAGCAGCACACCTAGCCACCCTGAGCACCCACTACGGAGGTGGAGTCCCTGGCCAGGGGTATTGATTTCTGCCAGAAGCCTCCAGAAGTTTTGTGTGTTGGCCCTTACATACTTCTTGCATCTGAAGGGCTGCACAGGCCAGCAGGGACAGAGAATCAGGGGCTGAGCCCTCATTGTGGCTTCTATGATCCCCCATCCTCTCCCTTTCTAGAAAGATCCTCTCAGGTGTGCTGTGCTGTGAGGAGAAGGCCTTCTTTCTTTTTAAAAAAAGATTTTTATTATTTTTAATTATGGTGGGGGGTATGTGCACATGAGTGCAGGTGGTCTTGGAGGCCAGAAGAGGTCATTAAATCCTCTGAGGCTGGAGTTACAGGCAGCTGTGAGCTACTGATATGGTGCTCAGGGCCAAGCTTGAGTCCTCTGTGACAGCAGTATGGACTCTTGACCACTGAGCAATCTCTCCAGCCACAGGAAGAGGCTTTCTATCTAGCCTCAGTCAGGGCAGAATCCACCCAAGCCCCGGGGACCTAGAGCTCTGGGGACACAACACAGGTGGGCCCTAAACTTGAAAAACCGGATCAGATTGGGAAAGGAGGCCCAATGTGCCAGAGCAAACAGCAAATGAGGGAGGGTAAATCTTTACAGAGAGTTGCCACCTGATGATACTCCACTCCCTGGAGAGGTTCATCCAGATAGCTTGTCCCAGGGCTCTGGCACAGAGGGATGGGAGCCCCTGGCACACCAGGGCACTGAGTCAGCCTTAGCACATCAAAGCAGGGAAGCAGTGACTTAGGAGAGTGAGATGGGGCTAGGGACAGCTGGAGGCAGGAGGATTCCAGAACCCCAAATATTTGGGAACTTAGGAGGTAGACCCCCAAAAGCACATGGTGGGTGCCAGAGACAACCCATTTCATTTGGGATAAAAGTTGAAAAACAGACAGCCATAGCAGGAGACCACACCCTCCTCAGCTTCTACCAATGTACAGTGTGAGTCAAGTAGCTGAAAGGTCAGCCACCAATGAGTCACCCTGCATGTCACCCCAATGTCTCAGTTTTAAAGAGTTCTGGTACTATTAGTAACCTGGCTTCACATTTGGAGGGTTAGTGTGCAATCTGGTCCACGTGGAAATGTCCCCTTCTTAGGGGATAGCACAGGGACTGGGGTACATCTGCAATGCCCACCTGTGCTGCAGCAGAGGCCAGAAAGCCCCTCCTTTCCCTCTCCTTTTGTTTCTCTGAGATACTGGTGT